AGAGTGGTTTCATCTGTTTCGTTCATGTAGCACTGAGGGACAGATTTGCTGTTCTGCAACAAACCACTTGTATTAAAAAGGGCATGGCATAACTTAGTTCTTTTTACTTGGGTTCTAGTCTGGAGAAATCCAGTGATATGAGAGGCTGTAACAATGATGGGTTATTGCCAAACACTGACTTCGTTAGTCTCATTACCCTTTTTTTTTCCTGGAAAGTGAGTTCTTCCTCTTGATATCACCACAGTAATCCCATAACAATCCTATTTTTCATTTTTCAGAAGTCTTTTGCTGTTCTTTAGTAATGAAGATTGGTTTAAGCGTACTGATTTCCTACTGGGAAGCCAATGCTAGATTTTTACAACACATCAAGAAGATCTGCTGGAAAATTACACTCTAAAACAGTGACCATTTTGCCTTTTTTTTTTTTGTCAAATGTAACAATGCAAGACTGAACCCGAGAATAAGAGGGTTTGAAATGAACAGTTCTGTTAGGCACAGCCTCATGAATACAAATTAAAATGACACTAATGTGAGGTTAATATGCTATTGTTAACTGGTGCCAGGGCCAGAATTTAATCAGCAGTGGTTTATGCCTTTCTTTGTGCTGCTGCTATTGTCAGGGCAGGATAGGGGTTATGTGGGCACACCTCTGGTTTGCTTTCTTCTTAGCTTACATTTGTATGTAAAACAGACTTTAACTGTGTTGATGGGCATTATTTTAAGACTGGATTTGTGTTTTACAGTTCAAACAAGCTGTATACAAACAGACAATGAAGCTCTTTGCTGAACTGGAAATTAAGAGGAAAGAAAGAGAAGCAAAAGAAATGCATGAAAGGTATAAATGATGTTCCACTTGTGCAATTCAGGCTCTTCTTCCCCCTCATGTTTCCTCAGAAAAGATGAGGGATCAGAGAGTCTTAGAATAGTCTAAACTGGAACAAACCACTGGAGAGCATCTGGTCTGACCTGCTGAAAGCAGAGCCTTGGCTTAGATTAACAAGGGTCCTGTCAAGCTGATTTCCTATAATGTGGATTCTGCCACTTCTCTGGGTAGCCCGTGGATTGTAGAGCGCTGCACTTGAGAAAAGCACACAGAAAATTTTCCCTCCTGTGTTGAAGATGCCAACATATTTTATATGGTTGTATTCTCTTATGTGTACACATGGAGGCCAGCCACAGCAGTGAAATGGTGACACAATTCTGCATGCTATTAGCTTGCAAAGGATTGATTTTTAATTTTAATTTGCTGTGGCATGTGTGATCCTGAGCTATCTCAGGTGTTTTGATCACATGCTGCCAGCTCACTGCAAATACACTTCCTGCAGCAGGGTTCTGTGCTGCTCAGTGAGGTGGGAGATGGCTGCAGGACATTACTTTTGATTACAGGTGAAAAGTAGGGGTTTAAAAATTTAATTTGTACTTTGCATGCTGAAGTGGTTATTAACTTCTCAGAATGTGTGCCCTCAACAGTTTTAGAGACCTACCACTAGAGTGATATAACCTTCTTGGATGAAGAAGTCCAGCTTGTTTTGCTGAGCAAGAGAAGCCAACTCCTTAATTGTATGCTTGCTCTCAGTGGGGCCAAACCATCTTCTCTGCTTTTCCAAATTTGAAACCAAATTCTATTTGCTGTGCTATCTTAGGTGTGTGTATTTATCTCTTCTGTAATCTGGCAAAAAATTAGGAGGGCTTTCCAAGATGTTTTGCAAGTATTGCCTTGCTTTTTAAAGTGGATGCTTGTGGGTTCATAACTTTTGTGGCTTCCCTTCTAGGAAAAGGCAGAGGGAAGAGGAAATTGAAGCACAAGAGAAAGCTAAACGAGAACGGGAGTGGCAGAAGAACTTTGAGGTATTCAGCAGTTGAACTTACAGAATAGGCCTCAGCAGTTCTTGTCCATGTTGCAGGGAATGCCTCTAGAGAAATGAGAGACCTTTTGTATGCAAGTCTGTAAGATAATTTAATAGATCTGCACCAGCCTGGGTTTTGTTCATGTGTGTGGAGAAGAGCCCATCAGTAAGGCTTTGTTATCAACTGTGCAGGAACAGGTCTGGTAAATTGAGGTATACTATTTTTCATCTCTATCAGCAGTTCATTCTTGTCTTTATTTGTAAAATAGAATTGCTGCTTAGCCCAGGTCACTGGTGACCACTAAAACTTAATCTAGAAAGTGTTTATGTGGACTGTTGGTGATACTTTCCAGTCTGGTTGCCCCAGCATCCAGATCCCTGCTATGGGACAGCTGCTATAGGCAGAGCCCATCTGCAGCACTGGTATTGCAGAGATAGGCCTGGAGTGGATGGATCACATGCTGTGAAGTAGATCTTTCCTAGACTTGTTCTGTCCTGCTGTGAAACCTTCAGCCTGTAGGGATCATAGGTTGGCTTTGTGCTGAGATTTGGGGGTTTAGGGGGCTTTTTTTATGGGTTTTGTTTTGTGGGTTGGTCTGTGTTTTGTTTTGTGTTTTTTTTTCTTGGAAAGAAGATGCCTTTTTTTCTCATTGTGTCAATGTGATGAGACTTTGAGCAAGAAGCATGAGAGAAGGCAGCAGTACATTTCCCTTCTCTGTTCTCCCTGCCTCCAATCTGCAGCACCAGGAGACTGAGTAAGGAGTTGAGCTAGAGAAAGTACATGGCACATTCTGGGCTGACAGATTAGGAACATCCATTTGAGAGGTTTCTTGTTTCCTTTGAGGATTCTGTAGAGAGTAAGGACTGCCCAACCCAATCTGGTGGTTTCTAAAGCAAGAATCCAGCATAGTGCTTCTACTGCTGTGTGTAAGCTCACTTGTAGTTCCAATGTGCTGTGTTGTTCTGGCTCTTCCCAGTGTCTTTGTGTCCTGGCTGTCAGGGACTGCATGTTGGATAAGGGGAAATTGCTACTGATCTCTTGAAACTGGTATGTACTACCTGTGCTTTGGCTCTTGCACTTGTTAACTCTCCACTTTTCCTCCCTGTTGTTCCCAGGAAAGTCGGGATGGTCGTGTAGACAGCTGGAGAAATTTCCAGGCAAATACAAAGGGGAAGAAAGAAAAGAAAAACAGGACCTTCCTGAGACCTCCCAAAGTAAAAATGGAGCAGCGTGAATGATCCTGGAAGCACTGCCCATGTGCAGCTCCTCAAGTCCCTTCTCTGCTTTTAAGGACTCATTGGCACCTAGAGTAAGATTTGCTTTTTAGTAGACTGTTTGTTTCCAGTACAATTAATTATCAGTCGAAGTATTTTTTGTACTCTGTCTGTTTGAAATAGGGCCAGAGAATGACCCCGGCCAGGGCCCCGCTACACGTAGAACACTTGGCTTAGGAGAGTCCCTGCCATTCCTGCTGTCCCGTGTGTCTGCTGCCCTGTAACTCGGTGTTTTGTACTTCACAGAGACTGTGCTGTTTCACCACTTCTGTTTCTAGTTTGAGAGCTGAACAAAATATTGGAAATGCATCCAAACCCTTCCAGGAACCATCTTTCTCAGCGAGTTCAGCTTGGGAAAGATCTGGACTGACTCTAGGAATATGCTTCCAGCACTGTGTAGTGCAGCTGGCCTGCAGTTAAGGCCTGCAGCTTCTCACTGCATTGAGTGGTGCTTGGAAGGAACCTGCCCCCAAGATCTGATTTCCAAACTAAAATCCCAGCTCTCAGGCTTAGACTTCTGTTAATCTCAGACCAGCTGGTCAATTCTTATAAAGGAAAATAACTTCTCTTGATTAATAGTTAAGCTGCAATGGTCTGTATGTAAAATAAATTTTTACCCAAATTATCGGGTTTTTTTTCCTTTGAATTATTAAAAAATACAATAGTGTGAATGGAGTGCTGTCACTGAGATGCTGTTGCTGTTCAGCTTGTTCCCCAAGCTTAGACTGTGGTGCCAGCTCTCTGCCTTTCTCCACATCCCTTTTAAGCTGCCTAAGCTGTTCCAAGTGCAGTGTCACCAGCCTGACACAGAGGGGACATTAACTGTCCTCATTCTCTGGCTGTGCTCCTGGCAGAGCCTGGCTGCCTTAATTCACAACCTGGCTGGCAACCTTCTCTGCTGGGAAAGGCTGTAGTTAAACTGGTGCAGCTTGGTTCTGTTGGGATGTTTGCTGCAGCTCTGCAGTTGGGAGCTCCAGGGCATGCATCCAGTCAGATCCTAACAGCAGTGCTTTGTGCACCTATGGGTTGTGACAGTCTTGCCCTTCAGGACTGTCTTAAAAGCCTCACACTTCCTTTCCTGCCAAAATAAGAGCCAATTCTTACCAACAAGGAAACCCCAACATTATTTCCTTGTTAAACAACCCATGGGGCATAAAGGGAGCAGACAAACACATGTGCTTTCTTGTTATGAGTGACTCAGGTGGATGCTCTGCCCCTGACCTGAGCGATAGCAATGCCACAGAATATGTTGGGGGAATCCCCACGTGGAATCTGGGCAGAGCAGTGCCAGTGGCATCAGGAAGGAGTGGGTCCCACATGTGCCCAACCACCCTTCCTTCCCAGGCTGAAGGAGCACAAGGACCAAGGTGGGGCTTACAATGCTGCAGGAGGGGTACAGGAACAAGCTGCCCCTGCCTGAAGCATTTGCTGGCTGATGTTTTCTGATCTGGGGACTCCCACAGCAGAGCAGTGCCCTTCCTGGCACTTTGCCCGATGAATGTACCTGTCATGGAAGCCTTGGAACAAGTAGTGTGCTGACCCCAGGCTCTGGAAGGAAATGAGGAGGACAGATCTGGTGAGGGTACTGGCCCCCCTCTTGCTGAGCTGAGACCACCTCTGTGCCCCTGGCCCAACCAGGGAGTGTCCCTGCCCTAGAGCTGCTCCAGGGCTGGGCTACCCCATCTATGGCCAGTGAGGCACCAGGTGTCACACCAGTGAGCCTCAACCACCGTGTCCCTTCTGCTGCCTGCCGGAGGAAGGACTACAGGAACTGATGTCAAGCTCCAGGGTGCAGCCAGGGCACGGCTAAGCATGTCACAAGTGCCAAGAGGGAAGTGAGTCACTCACCTGGGGAGCCAGCACGACGCCCTCTTTCCTGTCAGAGCCTCTTCCCAGGCAGGAGCGCACACACAGCTCGGCCCTGCTGGTGTCTCCACTTGCAGCACACACCTGGTGGGCTGGGGTCTGTGACTGAGCTGGAGCAGGTGCTCTGTCTGTGACCCCAAGGTAAGATGTTCCTTTCCCTTCTGCTTGCTCTCCACAAGCTCCTTCTATGTCTGGGTAACTCAGGCTATGGGCTGGGTCTGAGCCACAACATCTCTGACAAGGCCAAGGGCTTCCGAGACATCTTCATCCTCCCAGCATGGGTGTGGGAAGACACTCCTTGTTCTGCATGCTGAGCCAGCAGGGGTGAGGTGATGTGCATGGTGACAGCTGAGTCAGGTGGGTGCTGCTGGTGCCTTTGGGGCTGTGGGGAGGGGGCTGCTCTCACCCAGGTCCTATTCCACCCCTGAGTGACAACAACCCTGGCTTTGCTTGATGCTGTGAAGCAAGGTGAGGGGCCCTGCCTGGACCTTACTCCTGTGAGGAAGAGGAGGGAGTGCTTGGAGCCTCTCAAGGAGGCCAGGTCCTCATGCCACTCATGCACAGCCCCTGGCTGGGCAGGCAGCTGTGGCAGGAGGTGTCTCACTGCAGTTGAGGGCAGCAGAAGTGCTGTCCAGCTGTGGCAGCTCAGGCAGGATGTGGCTTTTGCCTCCAGCAGAGCTGTGACAGCCTGGGGCTATTGAACACAAATCCTGATACGGTGGCCCATGAACTCACTCCTCTGCCCAGTGCAGCAGGGCTGGGCTTGGGAACCAAAACCAGCTGGAGGCTGCCCTGTTCCCTGCCTCACCCACTAACCCTGTCCAGCTACCAGCAGTGACATTCTCTGCCAGTCTGTCACTCCCTGTGGCACAGCCAGCAGCAGAAGCCTTGACAGCTGTCAGAGGGTACCCAGGGACTGCTGCTGCCACTGTCCCAGGAGTGGCTTCTGGCCAATGGCTTGGTGTGTTTTCCTGCTGAGCAAGCCCAGCTATGGGGCACATTCCTGCAGGGTTGGTAACGAGGTGGGGACATGCTGTGCTCAGCTCTGAAGTGCTCAGGAGGGGGGAAGGTGAGTTTTAGTGTTTCTTTCCTGCAACGAGCAAAAGAAAATTCTGCGCAGTGTTACATGAGTAGTGGGAACTCACAGACAGTAACACTCAGCACCAGCTGAGCGTGTGCTGCGGCTCCAAAAGAATTTCATGGTTTTTCAAAGACCCATCCTGGCACTCAAGAATGTGTCCTGGGGACTGGAATCGGCAGGGACCAAGCTCATGTGTGTGCCAGTGGCTGGTGCTGTCACAAGCTGCATGTTGGTATTTCATCTTGTCCGTTTGCTACTGACAGGGCAGTCACAGACCCACCAGCTGCAATGCTGCTCCTCCTTGCAGAGCTCTTTGTCAACACAGCGTAGCTTGCTCTTGGGAAGAAATCTCTGGATATTTGCTTATAAAACAACTGGTTTCTGATCCCTCCAAAATTTACACTTGGTTATCCAAAGCGAGCGTGTTCCCAGCAGGCTACCTCTAAGAAGGAAACAACCACAAGGACATGTGCCAGAGGCAGGTGGGGCTTACAGGAGGCACTGGGCACCTGCCATGGCAGCATGTGCTGCCACAAGAATGCTGCTGGGTGCCAGACCCATGGGCAACAGCTGCTGCCCACCAGTCAGCCTGTGTGGGACTATCCCCAGAGAGTGGAATTTGGAACAGCTGCTCTGGGATCCAGCACGTACAACATGAGGGACTATCAGCTCTCCTTAACAGCATCTATGGGAATCAGAGTAAAAGAAGTTTATTTTTTATTAGGTTGCAAGTTAGCCTGATGATATTCATAGGCGTAATCAAGGTTGTTTTTTTTCTCAACTTAGCCTTGCAAAGCTGTCAGAGTGTCAGCCGGTGTGTGCATTCCCTGGGCGGGAAGAGCAGGAAATAGTGTCTAGCACAGGGCAGTCAGACTGCCAGGAGTGCTGAAGGAGCCCAGCCTCCACTGGCAAAATCCATCTTAATATTGGAGTCAGTTACATGCTCAGAAATCGGCAGCAGGGCCAGGAGAGAAGGAAAGGGGCTCCCAGGTGGGAAGGGAGTAAAAGGGAGGAGCTGCTTGTGGGAACTGTATGGGGGCAAAGGGACCTGCTGATGCAGAATGGCCATGCTGCAGGGCTGAGCAGAGGAAGGATGAAGACTTCTGAAGCTTCCTCCTCAGCCCAAAACCCCCTGGGCTTTCATTTCCTCTAAAGGCTGGGCTGTGGCAGGACAGCAAGCCAAGATTTGTTAAGTGTTGCCACATCAGCGGCGAGCACTCCCCTTGCCCCTGACGTTGCTGGCTGCTCTCCCCAGAGACTTGGACTGGCTGTCAGCCAACCTCCATAGCAGGCTCTTGTTTGGTTTGAAGTTTAAACCCCCAGGAGCAACCTAAAGGGCAGAGCTGGGGCTCTGTCTCATCCATGAAGGGTCAGGTTCCTTCATCCTTACAGCAGCTGATGGGAAGGGGAAAGGAGGGAGGATGTCTGGCAGCAGAGGGAAGTGGCAGCTTCCATCCCAGCACAGCTCTGGAGCGTCACTGCAGGAGCCTCAGCTCTCCCTCGTGTGGCTGGACAGACAGAGCTTGGCTGTCCCTTGCTCCTCATGCCAACCCCCAATGCAGCCCACCCTGCCAAGGCTTCCATCCCATGTGGTGCCATTCTATGGGGCTCCCTCACATTGCAGGACTTCCACTCTGCTCAGGGGGCTTCCAAATACTTGGCCACCCTATGCTGTGCTGCCAGCTGTGGTGTCCATGGACTTCAGGTTGTCTTGGAGTTCTCCCTGAGCGGGGTTCAGGGCAGCAGGATACGGATTGTCCAGCAGTTTGGAGAGCACTTGCACATCTCCAGCTTGTCTGGAGCTCACCTAGGGATCCTGGGGGCTGCCTGCCACCTGGATTACACCTTCAGAGCACTGTGCTGAGTGCACACCAGGTGTTTCCCTGTGTAGTGGCCCTGGGTAAGGTCACCTGCACTCTCTGGAGAAGGGACAGGGAAGAGCCAATCTAGGCAAAGAAGCCCAGGCTGGTGCTGGGGCTTTGCCTGCCCCTGGCTGGAGACATCCAGGCACTGGCACAGACAGTGGGTGGGTTCTGGCATGGCAGCCTGGTACTGTGCAGCCCAAAACCTTGGGACTTCTGAGACCAGGTGAGCCAAAGGCAGCACAGAGCAGCACTGCTGCTGTCCACCTTGGCCCCTCTGTCAGCTGTGACCCCAAACACCAGACTCAAGGCTCTGGTTGCTGTAGGTGTGCCAGGTTTTTGCTCTAAGCTCACATCCGTGCTGCATGCAGATGTAAGAACAGAGGAAGACACAGAGGGCGGGTTAATCATCTCCATGGGGGGACAGCCTGGGATTTACAGCTCGGCTGAGATGTGTGTGCAGCTTTGCTTGTCAGTGGTGGCTCTGAGCACCCCACCATCAGTGTCACCATGCTGAACAAGCTTCAGGCTGCCACAGGTAACAGTGGCCGTAATGTGATGGTGTATGGGACTGCTGTGCTGTCTCTGTCTGCTGATATCCCTGAGATAAAGGGAGACTTGGGATGGTGGAATCCCTCAATTAGTTCCAACACAAGTCTGAAGGAGACTACTAGGAAATGAGTCTGTTCATATATGAGTTTCCTATCTCTTCCTTTCCTGGAAGTTATTAAGTGGCTGCCATTCATCTGTTTGGGCAGAAGATGCTCAAAAAGTTGTCTAATCCCAAATCTAACTGGGGACACAGTGTGGATTTCTATTCTGCCTTTAGAGGAAAATCCCAATCTTGCCATCTTTCAGGATCATCAGAAGCAGAGATACTCTGAGGAAAAAGCCTTAAGGACTTTCCAGACCTTTGCTGTGGCTGTCTTTCCTCCACAGCTTATTTTATTTCTCATTTCCTTTGCTGATGTCACACATTTCCTCTCCTCTAGTGACTCTGCAGTCATGCTACAGTTGCTTCCATTCTGGTGCCCTGTTCTTAAGAGCTGCCAGTGTGGAGACTGTCCAGCCTCAGGGACAGGAAAATAACATCTGGGAGACAACCAAGCATCCTCAGTGAAACCCCCACTGCTACTAAATCTGAAGATGGACATATTGTGCTGAATTTTTTCAACTCTGGTAAGTAGAAAATATACTTTATATATTTGTGTCACTACTGACAGGGCAGTCACAGACCCATCAGCTGCAATGCTGCTCCTCCATTTGCACTCCTTGGAGAGCTCTTTGTCAACACGGTGTAGCTTGCTCTTGGGAAGAAATCTCTGGATATTTGCTTATAAAACAAATTTTATTCCTTAAATTCCTTATTCTTCTTAAAACAAATACATTCCTCTTGGAATATACACTTGCTGATGGCAGAGCTTGCTTGTCTCGGTAAGCCAGTAAATCCTGCCTGGGAGGGCACATGGCAGAGTCTGTGGACCGGGAGCAGGATCAGCAGGTGCTCTGTCCATGTTGGTTACTTCCACCTTCAGCCCTGCATCCAGTGAAGCTGAGGGTACCTGGGATTCCTGGCTGGGGGACTGTGGAAAGGCAGTGGCTTGGGCTGGAGGTCTCAGGAGGTTTGGCCAGGTGGCACAGGCTACTGCAGCAGAGAACAGGACCCACAGCCACACATACCTTCCCTGTGGTGCCTGCTTGCCTTTCTGCTGGCACGGGCAGCACAAACAGGCTTCAGAGAAAGGGGAACTGCCTCAGCAGGACAGGCTGAGGAGCCCCTGCAGAGCGCTCTGAGCCCGGGGCTCAGGGCATTCACAAGCATATGGAGATATGAGCCTGGGTTCCTCGGGCTGAAGAGGGAATTGGACATTGGGTAAATTCCGTGGGGAATGGTGCTATGTTCCCTTCTAGCTGTGCTCAGCAGAACATCTCACTTGGCTCATGAGAAGGAAAGGACACCTCTCTCGGGATTCCCTGCAGGACCCTGGCATTGGCACAGCACTCCTCCTAATGCAAAGATAGATGAGCTCTACCAGGTGGTGCTGGGGCCAGGAGATGGCACTGCCATGTCCCACAGACCACCTTGAAATCTCTTTGCCAGAGATTTCAGCAGACTGGAAGCAGCCACAGAGCATGTTCTTACACCCACCTCTCCATTTCAGAGCACAGCCCTGTGGCTCAAGCCCACCTGTGCAGCCTCTGCCATGGAGGGGACGTGCATGTTCACTCTCCCTTCCACAACATCTGCTAAACCTGGCAGTCTGCAGACAGTAAAGTTCACCAGAGCTCCTGGGCAAAGTTTGGTGGCCACCATCCTGTTGTGCAGAACCAGAAATGGAGGTGTGGGTGGACAGTGCCCTGGGGCACCATCTGAAGGGACCGTGAACAACAGCTGTGCCCAGGTATTGGATTCCTCATGAATCCTGCCAGAGATGCATTACCTGGTTTTATCCCCCCCACTCTTGGTATACTCAGGTCTGCTGCCACAGGAATAGATCACCTTTAATTGCAAAGACCCCAGCCCTAAGCACCAGAACTATTTGCTGGTGTTGCAGATAGACACAGCAGTGTGAGTTTATGATGCAGATTTGGAAAAAAACCCCGAAGTTCTCTAATGATCTTAGGTAATTAGGACTTACTGGGTTTTTATTCCTTATTCTAATGTCAGACTAGTGCATCAAACATTACACTCCCTGTGACTGAAGGTGATGAAGATGAAGGTGAATGAGGAGAAGTACATGTGTCACCTGGGGCCAACTCCCAGCACTGCTGGGACTGTGTGTGCATTCTGCACAGACCGTGGCTGGAAGATTGAGCTTCAGGACACTTGGAACTCAGCACTGCCCAGCATGCAGCTGCCTGGGAAGGTCCAAATCTTGTCACTGTCGTGTCCTTAGGGGACCCGAGAGGGGTGAGGAAGGACAGGACTCTCAGGAAGATGACTGCTGCCTTCCTTTTTCATGACTGGAGAGTAGTACTGAGAGTTGCAATTCTGCAGAAAAAGGCAGAAGAAGCTCCAGCTCCAGCTGACTTCCCCATTTGCAGAGGAAAATTGCCAACGTGCAAATGTGCAAATGAGGAACAACAGCACAAGGGCACCCAGGGTGGGACTCAGCCCACAGAGGCATGGGGGAGGTGGCAGGGGAAGAAAGGAGAACCAGAAGCAGGGACAGGACGAGTCATAGAAAACACTCCTGAGTCTAGTAAAAGATTAAGAAGCTTGAGGCAGGGCAGAGTAACAGATTATGGACCAAGGAGACAGGGCAGGTGTCTAAGTGGAACCAAGGCATCAGCAGAACTCCTATGGTCATAGATAACTGACAATGAAAGGTGGGGTTTGGCTTAGCAATGGTGCCAATCCATCAGCTTGATTTCTGTTGTCTGTTTCTAGGTAAGAAGAAAAGCTGTGGCAGGAAACTGTGCTTCAGACGTGCCCACTCAATACCATGACGTCTGGAAAGGGCAAAGGAGGTGCTGATTCCTACATTTCATGCCACATAGACTCTGAGTTTCGCTACAACCTCTTCACTGTTTTCTACAGTATTATCTTCATTCTGGGCTTTGTTGCCAACTGCTATGTTCTCTGGATTTTCAGCCGTATTTACCCCACCAAGAAACTCAATGAAATCAAGATATTCATGGTGAACCTAACAGTAGCTGACTTGCTCTTCTTAGTTACAATGCCAATGTGGATTGTTTATTACCACCACCATGGAGACTGGATCATGCCTGAGTTCCTTTGTAATGTGGCTGGCTGTTTATTTTTTGTTAATACCTACTCCTCTGTTGCTTTTCTAATGGTCATCACATACAACCGTTACCAAGCTGTGACTAATCCTATTAAAGCTGCTCAGCTGACCACCCAGAGAAGAGGAATCTACCTCTCAGCAGCTATCTGGATCCTAATAGTGGGCAGCTCTTTGTATTACCTTTTTGACAATAATACTAATCAGGAGCAGGTTAACTCCAGGAATTTCACACGGTGCTTTGAGCGCTATGACTCCTCGAGTGGTGTTTCAGCTGTTCTCGCCATTCATGTCATCATCTGCATCCTCTTCTATATAATTTTCCTTTTAATACTAGGTTGGAACATTGTCATTATCAGGACCTTGTTCTCCAAGTCAGTGCATCCACGGAAGAGCGCTCACGTCAAGCAAAGGGCCCTCTGGATGGTGTGCACAGTGCTGGCTGTGTTCATCATTTGCTTTGTGCCCCATCACATCGTGCACCTGCCCTGGACTCTGACTGTTCTGGAGCAGTGGAAGAAGGAAAACTGTCAGCTGCGCCAACAGCTCAATGATGCTCACCAGGTGACTTTGTGTCTCTTGAGTACGAACTGTGTGTTGGACCCGATCATTTACTGCTTCCTCACCAAGAAGTTCCAGAAGCATGTTTCAGAAAACCTGAAAAGCATGAAAGGGAGTCGCAAATGCTCCAGGCAAACAACAGACACGGTGATTGAGGGCACCATTCACCAAGAGGATGCCATTAGGATAGGTTAGGACCACTCTGTATGTTCTAATTGCACATGGAGAGGTGTGAATTATTTGCTCATCTTGAGTTGTTGACACAACAGACGACAAGGATTTTACATTTTCTTCTTCCCATTAGACAGAAGAACGGATGTTAATTTCTTCTGTCACATGCAACGGGCAGAGCTGGAACCTGCAATAATCTGGCAGCAAAGCTCGTTCTATCCGGGCTGGTGCTCTTATGGGCACTGAGAACAGCTCAGATGTCAGTTTTAACGTGAAAGAAGCACGTCACTGAGCCTCTGCAGTGAGCAGCTAGAAGCTGAGTGCACCAAAATTAGCCATTGAGTCAGTCCAGATAGCACCATCCCTGCTCCTCTGCCTGCCCAGCTCTCGCAGTGGATCCAGTATTAGAGCTGTAAGGGACTTCTAAAAGACCTGGAAGAACAGATTGAGCTCTGAGTATCATTGTGTGGCTTTTCTAAGCAGCTTACATGATCCTGTGAAGAGAGTATGAGCTGATGAAGCTCTTGAGTGGCTGTAAGGGATGTAGTCCACGGAATTCCTCAACTGCTGTCAAATATCTGCACCTCCAATCCCTTCATCCCTTCTTAGTGACTCATGTGGTCTGCTGGGATCTAAACTTGATAGATGTCTGGGAGAAGCTATTATGAATCTTTGCTTCCAGATCTTGAGTCAGTAAAGCAGAGAAGGAAAGGAAGAGAAATTGGCAGGGCCTCAGCACACCTCCCCTCTCCCTCCACCCGATCAGCATTATGGCCAAAGGGTACCAAGGTCTGCCCTGGCTTCCTGTGTGAGGGCAGAACTGGCCAGCCAGTGGCCTCATGCACTCAATTTAGAAATTTCTGACAGACAGCCAGTCTTGCTCAGGAGGCTCCAGATAACAGAGGGCTACTGTCAGCATGGGCATTATGATAAAGAAAAAAAAAAAAAGCTTAAAATGCTTCTGTATCTTTGTACTTATTTATTCAAATTAGGGTTGTAGCCATTACATATTCCTTCCTCCAGCCTTTCCAGTTCTGCTGCAAATAATTGAAGCTGACTAGTTCTTGATCTACAGCAAGTGAAGTGTTAGGTCAGGACACTTGACAGACAAATAATTCACACACTTCAACAGCACTGGAGGCCACTGACCCAGGGCCGGATGCAGTCTACTGGGGCCCAGAGAAAAGTGGTTTTCCATGAGTGCTGAGTTCTGTTACCAGTCATGAGATACTTGGGGTTCCTTCTGTGACCCAAATTACTCAATCTAGCACAGGAAATTGGGCAGGGAAGGGAACTTACTTGTTTTCACAACAGTTGTTGGTTCTCTAAAAGTCCTAGTCTGTTGATGACAGGAAGAGTGTATCTGACTTGTGACACCAATTATTCATGTGCAGGGTAGCCTTTCCACACCTGCCCAAGAATGGGAAAGATAAGCTCAAATCTTTCCAAAGACAGGACCAGTATTTGTACTGCTTTGCCTGCTTGAACTGATACAGGTCCTTCAGATGTATCCTCTGGAGCTCCTCAGGCAGCTTTTGTCCTTATTTGTGCCAGTGAGGAAAAGAACTAAGATGTTTAATTTTGTAAGGCCTTTGCCAGGGCCAGCCCTGCTCTCCAGGCCCAGTGCCAGAGGAAAGAGTCTGATCACAATAAGAATGCATCTCCCTCCTACTCCTGGGCTCTGCTCCACAAAAGGCCACCCACAACAAACACTTGCCAGTACCTCATGCCCCTCAGACATGTTCAAAGATGCACCCTGAATCTGCAGATCCACAGCACACAGGAAGGGAGAAGTTTCTGTAATTTAAAAGCCTAAATCTGGCTTGCTGGATGAATCTGCTTTTGTTTCTGCATTGTTCTGTGGGCATATTCTGGATGAGGAGCTCTCACAGCTGGTAGGGGGGGTCCTGCTTTCCCCCCTTGGCTCCCAGCAATAGCAGAGCTCACAGACCCTAAAGCCCTGATAGATGGAGTTTGGCAACTCTTGGAGGAAATGGAAAGGATTTTTACATGGAAAGCTGGCAGATGCATGATCTACTGATTCTTGGAAAGCTTGCAAAAGTTTACAGTTTAGCTCTTTACCATGGGTACATAACAGGCTTTATTCCACAACAAGCACTGTGGGCTCAGGGAACAAACATAAACTTGCATCAGAGGAAAAGCAGAGGGAAAAGCCCCAAGGCTACTTCAGGAGATGTTACGCTAATTAATCAGTAAAAATGCATTTCTAAAAACCAGGCTAAGCTGCTACTTTCTGTTCCTGGAAATACTTTCTTGTTCTTACCACAATGTTGCATTACTCTGCTTTACCTTGCAATGAAATGGATCCTCAAAAGCTCTTTTAAATAAAATGTGTTCCCCAAGTGTTTTGCCTTTTAACTTTTCCCACCTTCTCATCTTTCTGTATTTATACTTGAGGGAAAACCTTGGTACTACATTGGAACAGCTTCAATGCATCTTTTTTTAAAAAAAAAACATCATGTGAACCCTTGGGAGGGGTGAAATTAAAGGCTCAGCAAGGTTCTACCTGCTGAGAGTGAAGGGGAAGAAATAATTTCAGATAGGAAAAACTTTTGAAAAATCTGCTAGAGCCAGACAAAACCCCCTGAACTCTCTGACCTGCATATGGGAAATTTACACAGACCAATTGTGTGGCTGTGATGTGACAAACCATTTTAATGTACGGTTTTTGCAGGGCTAGGATGTGGTTCTGGAGGAGGTGGGGAGGGGTGCAGGGATGGCTTCTGTGGGAAGCTGTCAGAAGCTTTCCCCGTGTCCAACGAAGCCAAAGTTATTTGGCTCCAGGGCAGACCCCAGCCCATCAGTGATGGTGGCAGCACCTTTGGGATAACATAATAAGAAAGGAAAAACTGTTATTGCATAGGAGCAATTCGCAGCCAAAGAAGAGTGAGAGTATGTGAGAAACAGCCCTGCAGAGCCCAGCCTCGGTGGGGAAGGAGGGCAGGACCTGCTCCAGGTGCTGCTGGGGCTGAGATTCCCCTGCAGCCCCTGGAGGAGCCCAGGCCGGAGCAGGGCCATGCCCGAGAAGCTGCGGCCTCTTGGGAAGCCCGTGCTGGAGCAGGGTCCCGGCAGGACCCACGGACCCCTGAGAGAGAAGAGCAGGCTGGAGCAGTTTGCTGACCCGCAGTGGAGCTGCTTGCTCCTGGAAGACTGGTCCCGTGGGAAATACCCCACGGTGGAGCGGGTTAAATTCTGAGGAGTCCATCCCTTGAGAGAGGGAGAGAGGGAGAGAGCGTGTGATCCCCATTCCTCACCCCCTGCAATGCTCGGGGGAGGAGGGAGCGAATCGGGAATACAGCCGAGTCCGACAAACCCGGAGAGACTGGCGATTGAGATGTGGATTTTTCATTACCCTACTCTGATTTCTCTCGCAATAAATTAAACATCCCCCAGCCGGCTCATGCTCATGTCTGCCGTACCGGTGCTGGGTGAGAGATCTCTCCTCAGAGGCCCTGCTCTCGCCTCACCAGCCTTTCGTTGTGTTTTCTCTCCCCGGCCCGGCTAAGGAGAGAGGTGATGCAGCGGCTTTGGGGGCAGCCAGCCGGGCTGGCCGGGCCCCGCTCTGTTTAAATACCCCTTGGGACAGTGAGCGACAGTGGCCGCGAACCGGGCCACACGGCCCAGACCCGCTAAGGCAGCTCCGCACGGCATCGGCCCTCAGCCCCGGGCCCGGGCCCTCAGCCCCGGGAACCGGGCCACATGGCCCAGGCCCGCTAAGGCAGCTCCGCACGGCACCGGCCCCGGGCCCGGGCCCTCAGCCCTCAGCGGCGGGAACCGGGCCACACAGCCCAGACCCTCAGTCCCGGGAACCGGGCCACACAGCCCAGACCCTCAGTCCCGGGAACCGGGCCACACAGCCCAGACCCTCAGTCCCGGGAACCGGGTCACACAGCACAGACCCGCAGCGGCGGCTCCTCACTGCACCAGCCCCGAGCCCTCAGTCCCCAGCCCTCACCCCGCCCCGGGCCGGGCGGGCAGTGACGCCACTGCCGGCGCCGCGCTGTGTTCCGGCGGCGGGCGGGGAGCGCGGGCGCCGCTGCCATGTCCGCTGCGGGCCCCGGGCCCGGCTCCGGAGCCGCCTCTCGGTAAGAACCTGCTCGGGCCCTGCGCACGGAGCACTCCCGCAGCCCGAGGTGCTGTTCGCAGGCTCGGGCTGGGACCGGCGGGCCGGAGCGGCGAGACGGACGCGTGTGCTCCGCGCGTGCTCCTGTCCCTGCCTCCGCCGGAGCGAGGGCCCGAGGGGCCGCGGCAGGACCGCTGGCGCGGGGCTGGACCCTGTCTTGCCGCCGCCGACCCCGGCGGGGTGTGCCCGGCTGTCCCGGCTTCTTCGCCGCTGCTGGGGCGCGGAGAGCTGAGAGAAAGGCAGTAGGGGAAGGGGGGCACTGCCCGGCTGCCCGGGCTCGCCCAGGAGCGGTTGGAGGGAGCCTGGATTCAGAGCCGGGTCCGCGACTTGCCCAGGGCTCGGTACATGGCTGCGGGAGGGACCGCAGCTCCCGGGCCGAGCGCAGGCTGTTCCCCAGGGCACAGTTCAGCACACCTGCATCGCTCTTGGGTGGGTTTAGCTGCTTGTGCTGGAGCTTGTGCAGTTTAATAGGATGTTTGGGCTGGGCTTGGGCCTCACAAGCGAGGTTGGATGCACATCGGCTCTTCTGGATGTTCCTGGTTCTGGGAATGCTGTGCAGAATTGCTGGAGCTTTATGTACAGCCAGCTCCAGTACAGAAGGCCTTGTTGGTTGTTGTGCTGCAATGGTGCGGCTGAATGGTTTCCAGACTAGAGCTGTTCCTTGATGGAACATAGCTATAGCCATTCTGATGGAGCATCGAACAAAGAGTCGTGGTGGAGTTTGCTTTCAGAATGGAGCTAGCTCTGCTTCTGTGGTACACTTAATCTGTACTGTAGTAACCTTCTACTGGTAATTAACAGTCAACTGTTAATTAAGATAATGATAATCATATAAATCTTATCTGCCACTTGTTTGGTTTTCTTCAGTTTTGTCTGTTGTGGGTTATCTTAAACTCCGGAAGGTGAATAATGTATGTTTAGTTGAGAATCACAATTCATGTGCCTCAAATCAGTGGTTTCATAAGAAGTTACCTTTAAAAATGAATGAACATAGTGGTTTTCTCAGCTTGCAAGCCTACAGGCTTGTTGGGCTGAGTCTACTGTGTTTGAGGGATTTTCCTTGTCACCTCATGGTGCGATCCCTCTTACCTGTGGAGTTTTGCTATCCAGCTTTTGCCACACAAACAGTGATCTGCTGGTACATTCTCCCTGCTGTGTTTGAAAGGTTGCTGAGCTTGAGGTCCCGCAGTTTCCAAGCTGCTGCAATTCCTGAAGTATTTGCCTGCAGCTTTTGTCTCCCCCTCAGCTCTTCCCTCAACCTCAGCAGCAGCTATGGCACCTGGGGAACTGTGCATTGTTGAGTTGTGCAACACATCTGATCGAAAAATTTTTGCTTTTCAAGTAGTTTGAAATCTTGTTACAGATGTATGCAATAGCCAAAGTAATTGGTGACTTTGGAAGAATTTGTAACTTCTCAAAACTTTGCCCCGGAAATATCCAGCTGTTGAATGAATTTTAAGTTGAATATATCAGAGGATACTAAATGGGTTTCCATGTGTTGTGTGAATGAGTTGGAGCCCCTCTACAGTAGATTAACTAAGTTCTAACATGTAACTTCTGTGTGCCAAAAGGTGGTTATAGATGGCTAAAGATAAAACTAGGTAAAATATACTGAAATACTTTAATTGAACTGAAAGTCAGGCAAGTAGTGTGTTCCTGTGTGCAAGCCATGGTACTCAAGGCATAAAGCAGATAATTTGTCACTGGGATCTGAGTAGCTCCATGCCTGTACTCTCAGTTAGCAGAAGTAGGGTTATTTTTTTTTCCCCTCTTGGCAAGTCTCTGCTCTTCCTCCCTGAAATCTGCTCTTAGAAAAACAGATGTTTGATAAAACTTTTACTGGGTCTGCAAAATCCAGTGATTGGAAAAGAAACTGCCAGGATGGAGAGGTGTGGAAACTTTTGAGCCTGAAATGGAATTGTGTCAGGACTTAACAACTGGTATTTTATATATATTCTTGGACCAAGCAGTGTCTACAGACCACCCACCTCCAGACATCTTCTTACAGGAACTTGGGAGTGGTTTTTGCCCCTATACCATGACCAGTGGCACTCAATGGTTGGTTATGTATTGAGGAAAGTATTTTTCAGCCTTTTCTTGCCTTGTCTTACTTTTAATTTATTTTCTTTATTTCACCCTAATTTGTATAGATTTTTTTTTTGTTGGTAAGCCAGCATCCCTTCAGCAGTATTCTCTGGTGGCCCCTCTCTAGCAGTGATTCTGGGATGATCTGTGCAGATGCCATGACTGGAGGCACTCCAGTACCCGAGGGAGTAACTTCAAATCCTTTCTTTCTTCTTGCAGCTGCCTCCAGAGCCTCAGTGAAGGTGATGTTGCAAGGGCTTGGATCTCCTCCTGATGCCTTACCCAACATGGTGTTTAGGAGAGTGCTGTGACACAGCAGGGCACAGCAGCCTCTTCAGGGTATGGTGCCATTGTGATTCACACCAATCACTGCCCTGTCTTTTCCAGGTTGTCACCCATCAGTCCTGTAACTGAACAAGCTAACTAAAAACAAGCCTTATATTTAGAAAAATAATATAATGTTGTGATGGAGCTGACTGGGGACTCCTTCCATCTCATAAACAGACTTTTATTTGGGGTTAAGGATATGTCTAGACTAATTTCAGAGGTGATGGAACAGTTTCTGCAGCAGATGGGTCTCTCCTGAGTTAAGACTTGAGCAGAACACTATTCTTACATCCCAGGAGCTTCCTGCCGTGTCTTGAAATGTTTGTTGGTTGTGTTTGAATACTGACAGATCTTGAGAGTCACCAGCTGGAACATCATGTGAAGCGTGTGGCAGCTCTAAACCTTGGGTGATGGTTCCTAATTCTATACAGAATGCACTATTATTCCATTTCTGGGATTCTACAAGTCAGCCCCATACTAGTGTCTTTTCTGTGACACCTTTTTTTCCCCTGTTACTTTTTGAGAGAGCTTAAGAAATTCTTGCTTAAATATTACTGACTTAAGATGGTCAGGGTAGAAAAATGAATATTCAGGAAAAGGTGATTATTAATTATTCAGAACAGAAAAGAATGTAGCAGCTGTTTTCAAAATCACATGGAGGTGTTTTGAGTAGAAAAAACAGTGATACTTGTTTTCTGTACTTCAGATTTCCTCATGCTGGCCTTTTGGTAAAGGCATAGTTGTTCTTATCTACCTGTGGGGGAAAACAACACTGTTGGTCCAGGACTTTGAAGTTTATGCAAGTCTG